CCCGGGTCCGCTTACCTCGGACAGGAAGGTCTGGGCGGACTTCTGGGCGCCCACGTGCAGCAGGTATTCGTACACGTACAGCGCCAGCCTGCGGGTCGGGCGGTAGGTCAGGGTCCTGGGCCGGGCCCCAACCCGGCCTCGAGCCCCTCTGCGGTCGCCGCTGTATCCCTATCACTCACAGAAGATGGCTTCCAGCCTGGCCAACTCCTACATACCCATCAACACCCAACCTGTGCACCCCACACACCCGCGCGACTTAGGGCCGTTTGGTCCGCTTCCGCACTCCCTTGCAGTCTGACCCTGCGGAGCTTACCAACGCTGTGACCCCAGAGTGGCCTTGCCCAGGGGTGTCCTATGCGGAGGGTACATCAGCTGACCACCCTGGCGTCCCTACACTGCGGCCTCAATCTTGGGGTTATCATATAAACTCCAGTCGGTTCCAGGAACCAGGGGGCAGGCCCACGCGTGGAGGCCAAAATGCCCCGCCCCAACATCCCTGTGCCCCCACAGCCTCTGAGGACTCTGGAAGCCCCTACTTCCCCGAGAACAAGGGGGAACAAGGGGAACCTCCCTGCCCAGCCAGGCTGCCTAGTGCTCCCCTCTGTGCCCTCGCCAGGCAGACGATTGCACCCCCTGTGACAGGGGCAGAGCGGCTCCACCCCTCGCTCTCACAACCCAGACAGCCCGAGGGTCCCGGCTCCATGCCTGCGGGCCTCAGTCCCTCTCCTGGCTCAGGGCCCGGTCCTAAAGTAACCCCTGGGCTAGACCACCGGGCCCCAGCTGCAGCCCGCCCCACCCGGGTGAGGTGTGGGGACCCTGCCCTGGGCTGCCTCCTCACCCCCGAGGGACACACTACCAGTCAGGCTCAGGTTCACCGCAGCTGGTGGGGCAGCTGCCAGGGCCGAGGGGGACAGCAAGTCGGGGTGGCTCCCTTGCTATGAGGGCAGGGGCAGTAAGGGGACACCGAGGGCAGCTGTGGTGACAGGGCCTGTGCAGACCCAGCGCCCCAGAGATGTGGCTCTCTGGGTTCCAGGGCTGCTCCTGGCAAAGGTGACCCTGGCTCCCCAGCCACCTCCCGCAGAAGGCCCAGAGCCCCCTTCCTCCCAGCTGCACCCCACACCACCAAATCTCCCAACTGATAGAGTAAACAAAGCTTGACAGGTGTCCACCTACGGTCCCAGCAAGTGGGGACACAAGAGACGGAGGCTGAGGCAGGAAGATCTCATGACCCCAGAAGGTCAAGGCCAGCTTGGGGCACATGGTGAGACCCAGAGTAGTAAAGACCTCTTCTATGCCTGGTGTGGTGGTGCACGCCTGTAATCCCAGCACTCGGGAGGCTGAGGCAGGAGGATTGCTGTGAGTTCTAGACCAGCCTGGGCTACATACTGAGTTCCAGGTCAGTCTCAACTACACAGTGAGACCCTGTCTCAAAAAAAGAAAAAAAAAAAAAGAAAAAAACAAGACCTCTTCTGACACAAGCCCTGCCCCCACCCAACACCTCGCTGCCCTGGGCTTTCCGGTCACCATGGGGTCCTTTCTGGGGGCAGCTGCCAGGTGCCATCCCAGGGGGATGAATGCTAAGGCCCCTCCTGGTCTGCAGGCTCCAGGCAGGGAGGTGGGTCCAGAATCTGGGCGTGTAACCCTCTTCACCCCACTTCCCAGAAGAGGAAACCGAGGCCCAGAGACAGGAAGCGGCTCAGCCAACAGCAGGCGTTTCCTGAGAGTCAGGGGCTGCAGTGTGGGTGCCCGGTCTGTGTCTCTCCCAGTCCCCAAACCCCTAAAGCAGGCTGTCCACAGCTCAGGTGAAGAAACTGAGGCAGGGTCACCAGGGGACTGGCCCGCATCTCCGGTGTTCCCTGGGGCCCCCTGCCAGGCAAGTGGGGGTGATGGCCTTCTGGGGTCCTCCTGACCTCTCCACCCACCCAAAGCCACATCTTCCAGGGACCCAAGTCTGCTGTCTGCACACTGCGCCCTCTGCTTCCTAACGGACCCCTCACCATCCGTGTCTCTCAGGACCTATGTATGACCAGGGCTGGCCAGCCACAGGGACAGCGACTTGGCCTCCCCTGTGCCAAGCATGTGCCCCCGAGCGGCACCCCGGCCCAGGTGCCCTTCCCACGCAGCCTGGCACAGGTCTGCTGAGCACAGTAGCCCCCACTTGCAGGCAGTCACCTCCAGACACAGGAGCTGACAGGGACACAGACAGGACAGGCTGGCGAGAGTGGGGTGACCAGGCCAGACACCCCCTGCTTCCAACCTGGGCAGCCAGTGTCACTGGCAGCCTTCCACGGCCCCCTGGTGACCCCCGCTCCTTTCTATTCTGGAGGACAGATCCACACAGCAGATCCACGCTTCTGGGACCCCCGCAGTCTGCCAGCCACCAGGCCCTGCACTCGGGCAAACCCTAAGGTGTCCTTGTTCTGGGGCTGTCACGACTCCAGGCACCTTCAAACGTTCCCCCCCCTCCCGTTTCCCACGGAAGGAAATCGGATCAGGCCAGGGGCGTTCCCTCCATCACAGCCACGGGGCAGGGACAGCAGGGCCAGACTGCAGGCGCACCCCTGCTTCAGGGGACTCGGGGAGACTCCCCCCACTTCCTCCGTCTCCAGGGTTTATGCCCTCAGGGACCCGCCCTGCACCGCACGACCCGTGCCCAGAACCAGAAGGCGCTGGGCGCGCATCCGCGGGAGGGGGGACTCGACCCGTGACCCAAGACTGCGAGCCGGCGGCCTTTCCGGGGCGCTAGTGGGCGCCA